TTACAGTGTTTCCGAATCAAGTAAAACTGTTTAAATGGTGCTACCAATGGAGAATAACTTCCCGCAGTTCGGTTCAGTTTTTACAACCATTAACCATGCATTTTCGTGCGCCGGTTTTGGTTGCTGTCTTTTGTTCGCCCATTTGGATTAAAGAATAGAATGAAAATCGGAATGTTGAGAGCAATCTCAAGCGGAAGATAGAGTTCATATAGACTGGGGTAGCAAGAATAGTGAGTAAATGCATGGGCACCACTGTTTGTGACACCCAGCCATATTGCTCAATGTCTCTAACCATCGGTGACCATGATCTCGGGGTCCCCACCCATCAGGGTTTTCATACCCTCATACCAGGTCTTCGTTTCACCACCCTTAACCCTTTTCCAACCGCTACCTGCCTGGGCAAACGTCGTTCGCCTTGGCAACCTATCTGGCAGTTGCTTAGGCACCTCCTGACTTTCGTCTATTCATTATCGCCCCTAGATAGGTCACTGAAGCAAAAGACACAAGAAGGTGCAAATTACCAGTCAAAAAATCCCCGCTAGATGGAATTAGGAGCGAGGTACTTAGGGCTTCCTCCTGATGGTGGGAGAAATCTTCGTACTTCACTGGACTGCTACCGCCCGCCCAAGTCAAAGACTCTGGTTAGGGTTCCCAAAGAAAAACCCCTTCGTCTGTGTGGGCTACCGCAAAGTATGCCGTGCCCCAAAGTCCTAGGTACTCATTTGAAAAACCATCTTTCTCATCTGTTTACTTCCTTTTCTAACAAGTCATTGAGGTGTATTGTATTTCACACACATCTAAATCCAGATAATCTATCAAACAAATCATCGCACAATAACCTTTATGAAAAGGAGCAATTTCCAGGATTTGTTTTTGGGCGGAATACTGCCAGGCTGCCCATACCAAGGCAGGTCAATTCTCTTGGGGAATTCATAACCGGAGCCGTTGACTAGCACAAGCCTGACTCGCAAGACATTGAGGCGGTGTGTAAAAATCGCAATCTCTTCCTGCTGGTGTCCAATCCATCGGATCATACGCCCTTCGAACGGGGTCCAACGTCCAAGGTGCCAAACGCACCTCGATGCCAAGTCGAGTCGGTGACGCCGGAATTATTGACCAGAGGTTTTCAGATACTCCTGTTCGTCTTGGTAAATTAGGCCGTATCTGTGAAATAGTCGGAAGGCCATGAACAGCTGTCCAGTAGTGCTGAAAAGACTTAAGTTTAAAATGTAGGGATGATCGTGAAATGGGATCAAACGCGGACTAATAGTTAGGAAAAGCGCAGTGGATATTTGGTGAAGCTTCAGATAACCAGGGTATTATTAGTATTATCTATCACCGGTTTGTGAAAATGCATGGTGCCAACGCAACAACAATAATAGCGGAAAATGTTGGGAATGCTTAAAGGAGAGAGCAACACGGAGAGCAAGCAATTATAGTGAATAGCAGTTTTTTGTTTGTTTCGCCGTACACCCTTTGATTTTCTTTTGTACAGAACGAGTGACGTGTTTATAAGGCTGTATTCAACTCATTAACGAAATATTAGCGGTGGAATAAAAGAGAAACAGTTAGTCAAAATAGCAATCAAGCTTAGTAAGAGATTGGAAAGAACAGTGACGTATCACTTCATCCCTGCCCACTTCTCTGAGAAGATAGGTATGATTGCAAACTCGTCAACTGATGACGTAGTATTTGGCTGTTTTCTTTTGTCTACAGAGAAGACGAATCCCTTCCCATAGAAGCATGGTGTTCCGTGTTCGCATAATTTGGGCAGAGAGGGTTTTATTCACATATGTCATCTTAATCTTGATTAAGTGGGAGTTCCTTGTGGCTGATACCTGGCAAGATCAATAGGCCCTTTCTTTGCGTCGTAATGATTTCAGCAGGGCCGAGGGAATTCTGCTGTTGCAAGCAAGCAGCATTTC